GTACGTGGGATATCTGGACACTGAAGATTCTGCAAATTGCTTGTGGGCCTGGCGTAACGTTTCTGTTGAAGAAGACAGACTTGATTTTCATGTATTTGGAATTTTGGAGTCATCACCATATCTGCCTGCATGCTCACACGACATGAATAATGTACGAGTGAACGTCTCCTTACAAAAACAAAAATATATTTTAAAAAAATGGTCTCTTACCGGTCAACATAAAAATCAGAGTCCGTGGACATTCGATTGATTCTTGTCATGCTGTGCTCAAGGGCCATCCGGAGTTTCGACACCTCGCCTTGAAGCTTAGCGCACGCCTTTTGGTTTTCAACGAGCTTGCTTTCGGCAGCTCGCACCATTGAGAGAGACGCCAACCTGTCTGCTTCTTTGCCTGCAACCAGGTCTCTCTCCATCTGGGACATAATCATTTCGACAGCAATACGAAACACAACTCCTTCGTAAGATGCCCTCTCACACGCCCTCCCACAGGCCAAAGAAGCATTAACAGTTCGCCAGAAAGACTGCCTTTCCTTTATATTGCCCGACTAAGAACTAAGCCCCTCCTGGAGACGGAAAAAAGGGTAAGAAAATGACGAGTACAGTTCTATACCACTTGCCAATTGAGTGGCCCGGACCCACCACTTGAGAAGAATTACGCAAAGCATACATGCACACTCTCACAACCCTCCCTTACACCCTTCACCTGCCAACCCCTGGCTCCCCTCCTTTCCAGGATGAAAGGATCACGAATAAAAGCTCAATTAACTAGAACAGTATAACATTGCTCCCACATTCAATTGCCACAGTGGCTAGGCTACCAGAGTGGCCCGGGGAACCTTGCCCAGCAGGCCAAAAACAATTAAAAAAATAAAAATAAAAACATAAAACTTAATTTTATTAATTTTTTTTTTTTGGTAAAGAACTTCGATGTGACCCCGAAGCAAAGGTTTTTCAGTTTGTTTTACTGCATCACTTTTTGTATCCCGGATTTTTTGGATATATATCATACTTGCGGCGCATCGACATGCGCTGCACCCCGCACACGCGCCGCACCGCGCACAGCGCACGACGCGCGTGCACGGGGTGCGGCGCACCCCGAAAATAGGGGGTCGACAAAAAAAAAAAAAAGTTCCGGAGGGGTGTTCCAGGCCCTGCTCGGACGTCGCGCCACAAAACAAAAAAAATAAAGAACAATATTTTGAGGCCGCGCAGGGCCTCTGAAGAAAAAGTGGGGGGGGGGGGCAGCTGGAAAAAGTTGGTTTTTTAAGTTTTGAATTCGAAGTGCTCCCCCCCGCTTCGTGGATGAACCCGGTAGTCCAGCCTTGTGCCCTTCGCGCCCGCCGTGCGTTGCCGTCGCGTGCTTGCCTCCTCGTTTCCTTTGCAGCAGCAGCATTCCAAGGCGCCGTCGTCCAGCCATAGCCAGGGCACAGCACTCATCGTCGAGGAGCCGAAGGGGCAGCAGGAGGAGCGCTTGTCGGCTCGTGGGGTTGCAAGGTGGGCAACCACCAGTCCCTCTCTCTCTCCCCTCCTTTAGACCTACCTTCTCTCTCTCTCTCTCTCTCTCTCTCTCTCTCTCTCTCACAGACACACACACACACACACAAGTGGCGGTGTATATTTCCATGTTGCAGCGGTAGATTCATTCGATTGCGCTCGGCGTGTCGATGGAAGTACCAGGAGGTCAGCCGCGACGTTCGCGAGTCGAGACCTACCTTCTCTCTCTCTCTCTCTCACACACACACACACACACACACACAACCGCCCACACACACACCCACACACAAAAGTGGCGGTGTATATTTCCATGTTGCAGCGTTAGATTCATTCGATT